ATCTAAAATTGGAGACTTTCTCGGTATTTGAATGCACAGTCTATCGTTTAACGGCATGTCGTATGTTTTAATTCAAATAAGGGAAATTTAGAACACAGGCATGTAGTGAAATTCAGTTCTGCGAGGTTGCGGTTGCACTACCATTTCAATTTTGAAACTGTTAGTCAGAATGGCGGTCATCATCACTAACTGACGGATATCTCCAAAAGCATTTCAATAAAATAACATTGTCATCAGTTATCTTCTTCTAGAACTATATTTCTGTTCGAAAGCAGTCAGTGATAAACTTAGCTAATAAGTAACAACAGGTAATGGATTTGACCTAATTCCTGTAGACTGTATGCACTATTATGTCAAATGCGGTAACTTCGTTCATTTCAGTGCAGAAAAATATTAGTATCATATGACTAAACGTGTCCTTTCTGTCATCGCCATTCTACGTTCAGATGACCATGAACAGCTAAATTACCGTGGTAATTACGCATAGTTAATAACCAACGAATATCTAGCTAGTGTCCGGCAGTCTTCAGTGTTCATCGTCAAGAATGGTCTCAATTGCAGGTACCATATGCTGTCGCTGATCATATGTCACAAATGCCGCATTTGCTAGTTGATGCTGACCTTTCCTATTACCGAGTTTTAAACGACGAGCACGCAAGCAGAATCAAAAAGAAATTTTCGTCATCAAAAACGTAAGAATATGACCAAAGCCTTGAGGAAAATGTGTGTGACTAAGCATTCTGAAATTTATGTCATAGATGAATAAACGCTTAATGTCGTTAGCATTTCTTACTAGGCGCTGTAGAAAGGAATAATCATCTGAAAACCGCAGCAGTTCACGGAAATAGGCAATGAATTGTTTCACGAGATCAAAAACGTTACATTGTTAAATTTGGCGTGGAGTTCAAAAGACTGTCTGAGAATGTTCTATGCACACTTGACTGAAAACCACTTTATATAACGAAAACCCAGATCCCTCTCTGACGACAAACACTGCAGTGATATAAACGATATCCCAGGGAGCCACAGCTTGACAAGGCGGCACTATTCGTTAGAGGATATATACCAGTAAGAACACAAAACAGAGAGGCGAGACGGTGAGGCGCCACACTGATCACCGAACCGAGAAGCGAGGAAAGCTCGCCAAACATTTCACTTCTATATATCGATGGTCCGACGGAAGGACGTAGAGGACAAAGGCTATGTTTCACTCTCCAAAGTAGACTTTACTCGAGGAACAATACTGGGGCTTGCAATGTTTCTGCGAAGCACGAAAATCAGCCGAATTTATCGCATAATGGAACAACAGTGACCAAGACATTCTTCGGGAAAGCGTACGAAAACCAAACTCGGGCAGGTGGTGTAGGATTTATCGCATAGAAGAGGGCTGTGCCGCTCGCAGCTACCTGCGACCTCATATCACCTCTAGTCGGCGTGTCAATTCTGCGGATGAACAAGAGAAGATCACTAAAGATAAGATAATCGAAGTTTCCAGCCACAAGCAACAAACGGACGATAAAAAGTTCAGCAGTTGTAAGACAAACTGAAAAGCGCGACGCGTAAGACGTCTACAATCGTTCAAGGCGGTTTCAATGTCGTAGTAGGAAGGGGAACAACTGAGACAGAATTTTCATTGACCGGTTTGGAAATGGTACTAGTGATGGAAAACTGGAGGAAGAGATCGACCGGCGAATTGGAGTAGCCAGTGGCGTTCTGCGTGAACTAGCCCGACCCATTGTGACTAAAGCGAAACAGACGCGGAAATGGAAAACGAAACAAACGCGACTATCCCCTCATAGTGTGTTCCGGAAGTAACCGTTTCCACATCATGAACAACCAGTTTCCAAATGTGAAGTGGAGTGGTCATGGAGAAACCGAAATGGAATGACTATTAGCCAAATTGACTACGTGCATCGGACACAAGGCGTGTAATAACAGATATGTCTGTCATTAGGGGAAACGTGGTCTTCACGAGGCTATACCACAATTTACTCAATTTCACAATCACAATCGATGTAGCTAAAGAGGATCAGGTTGGAATGGCTCAATGACTATCGGCCAGTAAACGAATATAGAATACCGAAGATTTCTCAGACAAGCTTCATCAGTTGAACCTCGTAACAGACATCAGCAGAGGAAACAATGCAGATTATCAGCACCTGAATGTTTCCATCAAACCAAGTCATCGAGTCGGGCGAAAATGTCGACGTGGAAACAACGCATCAACCCTGCAACGAGACAGTTTTATACCAAAGGAGTCAGAACGAAGTCTGATCAGCAACTTGACGCCGAGTATACCGCGCTATGCAAAGAAATGCCGCGACAATGAAAGGTACAGGAGAACGAAACCAAGAGGCAGCATTAAAAACGAATAACCTGAAGATCGCTCGAAATGGCATCCTCCTAAGAAAACGGGTTTTGGTAGCACTAAATGACGAAAGAGAAACAAGAAACAGATTACTGTCGCATGAAGGCGATCTGCGAAAGGTTCTTCAGCAGCCTCTACTGTTCGACGTTAGAGGTAAATCGGAAGATTCTGATCTTTGCCTCAGAAACTGTTCTCTGTGTCAAATGGGACGAAGTAGAGTGGTCAATCAAGAATATCGCGAGTGGAAGATGTCCTGAAACGACGGCCTATACAACGAACATCTCAAGTCAGGAGGAGTGACCCAATTCAAAGTCCTTGCCGAATGATTTACAAATTACATTATGCTGAAGATGTTAGAAGCATGGAAGAGATCTTTGATGATTCGACTATTCCAGACGCGTAATGCTGAAGACCTCAAGAACTATCCATTACTCTTCTGTCACAAATCTACAAGGTCTTTACTGGAATCGTCCTCAGCCGTATCCCAGAAAAATGCCATTGTTCACTGGTAAAGAACAAGCTGGTTTTTTGACAGGTTTCCGCCATAGACCACATCCATTTCGTGAAGCAATTAACACAGAAGTGCCAAAAAATATCAATTTACTCTTTGCTACTCATTCACTGACTTCAGGAAAGCGTTCGATTCCTTATTGAACACCTTGCACGACTGCGATATGAATCCAATCTACATCGAACTGATCGAGGATCCGATTACTGACCCCGTAACTGACACCACAATGTTCGAGGAACCGTATCGAATCAACATCAAAAGAGGAGTAGGCCAAGAAGACATCACTTCTAAGCTTCTCGCTACGGCGTTGGAAACCTTCTGAATGGAGCGGCAGCATTATCATAGATGGAGAAGAGCTCACCCAACTGCTCTGCAGACGACTTCATAATCTTTGCCAAGACCCGGCGGAACTCTAAACAATGAATGTGCAGTTGTAGGAGCGAGGCCACATCGTTCAAGGGATGAATATTTCAAAGACGAAGAGATTGTGCAAGGAGCACTGGCCTGCGGATACCATCATTCTTTACGAAGTGAAAAAAGTCGCTTGCTATGCATACCTCGCGAGCTTAATTGACTTCAATGCCAGAATCAGTGGCAAATCCATCAGAAGGAAGGTGGCATGTACCGTTCCAATCATATCAAAACATCGCTGCAGAATAATGAAATACCCATGTCCACTAAGAAAAAATCGTTCGACTCTGCAGTCCTACTAGCCATGATTTTTGGCGCGGAGCACTGCTTTATCTCCAAGGCTGAGGAAAGGAAACTGTGCAACGCAAAGGGCGATTGATGGAAGAATATGCAAGGTCTTACTTCGAGACCGTGTTAAATGAGCAACAGTTCCGTCGGACACGAATTTTGGATGTACTCACTGCCGCCTACAACTCAAAGAGACGGTGCGCTGGTCATAGATCGTATGAGGGAGACCGGGTAGACATCTAGAATTAAGAGACTTTTACTGTCCTGCACCAACACGCCTGGATGAAGTTCTTTGATCAACAGTGGCAGAACACTTAGTAGGGTGATTGAACGTTGACCTTCGTTAGTCGCGTGGCCGCAGACGAAAACAAGTCGGATAAAAGAATATATTGGTTGGAAAAAGATATAGGCAGGACGATGACCTAAACCAGTTGCGATGCTACTTGGGCTCATTTAAATATTTAACGTTTCTTTCGTCCAACGCATGCCGAAAATGAGCAAAAGATTTATGCAAAACTGTTAAATGTAAACGACTTGTTAAC